GTGAGGGGGATCCCGCCTCGCTCGCCTGCTCTGAGATGGCAGCGCTGGGCCGGGTGCTGAGGTGAGGACGGTGGTGGCGGTGGCCATGGGAGAGTGGGGTCTTCTGTGGGGCTGGTGGGCGTCGTGAGGGGAGGGAGGTTTAATGGCGACCCCCTTTGCCTTCCACACACTAGTATAGGTTAGGGGTTGGCCTGCTGGAGAGTCCTGGTGGGCAACAGGTGGCCCGTGAGGCAGGAATATGCCCTTGTGGCCCAGAAAGCCAGTGGTCTCCTGGGGGATATTAAAAAGAGTGTGTTCAAAAGGCAGAGGGAGGTCATCTTCCTCCTCTGCTCTGCCCCATCTGGAGCACTGGGACCAGTTCTGGGCTCCCCCAGGTCCAGAAGGACAGGGAACTGCTGGAGAAGGTCCAGCGGAGGCTGTGAGGATGATGAGGGACTGGAGCATCTCTCTGCTGAGGAAAGGCTTGAGGGAGCTGGGGCTGTTCAGCCTGGAGAAGAGAAGATTGAGAGGGGATGTCATCAGTGCTGAGCAATAGCTAAAGGGTGGGTGTTGAGAGGATGGGACCAGGCTCTTCTCGGTGGTGACAGGACAAGGGCAACGGGGACAAACTAGAACATGGGACATTCCACCTGAACATCACAACTTTAGTTTGAGAGCGCCAGAGCCCTGGAAGAGGCTGCCCTGAGAGATTGTGGAGTCTCCTTCTGTGGAGACATTCCAAACCCGCCTGGAAGCGTTCCTGCCCAGCTCGCTCCAGGTGCTCCTACTTTGGCAGGAGAGTTGGAGGAGATGATCTTCAGAGGTCCCTCCCAACCCTAGCCATTCTGTGATTGATGTCTGGGTGTCAAGAGAATGGGGCCGATCTTTTTTTAGTAGTGCCCAGTGACAGGACAAGTGCAAACGGGCACAAACTTGACCATAAGAAGTTCCATCTAAACACGAGGAGGAACTTCTTGACTTTGAGGGTGGCAGAGCCCTGGAAGAGGCTGCCCAGGGAGGTGGTGGAGTCTCCATCTCTGGAGACATTCCAAACCCACCTGGACACCTTCCTGTGGGACCTGCTCTGGGTGGACCTGCTTTGGCAGGGGGTTGGAGGAGGTGATCTCCAGAGGTTCCTTCAAACTCCATATCATTCTGTGATTCTGTGTTCCCTACCAGTGCCCTCCGTCTCCCGGCCAGGCCAGTCACCACCTCCGTCCGGGCCAACTCCAACCGTGCTGCCATCTCCCACCTCCACCGCCAGCACTATGGCCGCCTCTACCCCGTCCTCCTGGTCAAGCTTGATGGCTCCACCGTCCGCCTGCGCTACAAGGAGCCCAAACGGATCCTCATGGTGAGGCCAGGAGCAGGGTTTTGGGTGGGATAGACCGGGTTGGGGGTCCCAACCGTGTCCTTTGGGGACACAAGCGAGGCCCAGGAGGCTGGAGGGATGTTGTTCACCCCATCGTATCCCCCTCAGCTGCCCCTGGACAGCAGCACCTTGCCCGAAGCCCAGCGCAAGGCCCGGCTGCGGCGGCAGTTCCCCAGCAAGCCCAAGGTTGGGGCGGAGGAGACCTTCGAGGGCATCGACCTGGGCACCTACCAGCGGTTCTGGAAGAAGTGAGGCTGCGGAATAACCTTTATATATAGTTTTAAAAAAAAAAAATAATAAATAAACGTTACGGTTTGAGAAAACCCATAAGAATCTAGTGTTGTTTAGAAAATTATTCTATCACCTGATGGCTCCTCCCCACCCAGAAAGGGGAGTTGGGGAACACAAACACAAGGGTTGAAATATAAATAGAATCATAGAATCATTTAGGTTGGAAAAGACCCTTGGGATCATTCATCCATCTGCCCCACTCTACAAAGTTCTCCCCTACACCATATCCCCCAACACCACATCTAAACGGCTCTTCAACTCATCCAAGGATGGCGACTCAACCACCTCCCTGGGCACTATTCCAGTGTCTGACCACTCTTTCTGTGAAAAACTCTTTCCTAATGTTCAGTTGTAGCTTGAAGCCATTCCCTCTTGTTCTATCGCTAAAGACCTGTGAGAAGAGGCCAGCACCAACCCCTCTATAGCGTCCTTTCAAGTAGTTGTAGAGAGTGATGAGGTCTCCCCTCAGCCTCCTCTTCCTCAAACTAAACAGTCCCAGCTCCTTCAATTGCTCTTTGTGTGATTTATTCTCCAGGTTCTTCACCAGCTTCGTTGCCCTTCTCTGCACCAGCTCCAGCACTTGTGATTCTATGAAAGGCTGAGGGACTTGGGTCTCTTCTCTTGGGACTTCTTGGGTCTGGAGAAGAGAAGGCTGAGGGGAGATCTGATCAATGCCTGTAAATACTTAAAGGGTGGGTGTCAGGAGGATGAGGCCAGTCTTTTTTCAGCGGTGCCCAGGGCCAGGACAAGAGGAAATGGGCACAAACGTGAACATGAGAAGTTCCACCTCAACATGAGGAGGAACTTGTTTGCTGTGAGGGTGGCAGAGCCCTGGAAGAGGCTGCCCGGGGAGGTGGTGGAGTCTCCTTCTCTGGAGACATTCAAACCCACCTGGACACGTTCCTGTGGGACCTGCTTTGGCAGGGGGTTGGAGGAGATGATCTCCAGAGGTCCCCACCCCATTCCCTCATTCTGTGACTGGGGCAGCCCTTAGGCCCT